TTATTTCTGTACTTAGCTTGTTGTGCGCCATGTAAACATGTAAACCAGCTTGTTTACGTGTTATTCTTCGTCGCGCATGCGGACAGAACGGCGGTTACCATAGCTACGGGCATCTCTATCTGAAGCGCACTTAGTATTTCTCGAAGGAAGACGGTGGATACGCCAGCTCTTCGCTACACCACTCTGTGTTGGAGAAGGTTTGACATGAAAAAAGTTGTGATGGATGTCTGCCTGCCCTTCTGATGGTGTTATCCAACAAGGAACGGCCCGACCTCTACGCCTGGCCTTTGCCGAGCGGAACCATCTTCCAGAGACTGACTTTTTCTGTTTTTAGTGAATGTGGTTATTGACACTCATTTGAATGTATGTTGGTGGATACCAAAGCACCTTCGAGTCCACTGCACGTGAGAAGCTGCGTGAGAAAAGCCACAACAGGCGGGGCGTTTGCTTGGTTGTATATACGACTGAGAGAGGCTTTGGCCGAACCATTCTTGTGTCTGTAGGCTTGAAGGTTCCACTACTGATGTGCAGGTAGCGTACTAACTGAAACACTGCGTCGTCTGCCAGATAGGTGAGAGTTTCGGTTGTGCCGGATGGACGCATCAGCGTGCATGAGCGGTGACTGTAGTACGAGCCAGCTAGGTATAACCTTTAGAGTAGCGGGGAAAACTCTGTAGCGGTGCAAAAGGTAGGCCTATTGCCCCAGAAACCCCTAAGACTTTTCAGATGACAGTAAGTGGCGCGAGACACAGAAACGCGTCTTCCCGGTTCCTCGAGGGAGACGGGCCAGTTTCCTTCATCCAAATTTTACCGATTTTCAACTGCGTTTGGCCGCTTAACTTTGTATATAACCAACATATTTTTTTTGGTTCATCTGAAACTTTAGACTCTCTTCTACAGTTTCTAGACGTTCGGACCTCAAAATAGAGTAAGCATGGCCGCTCAAAAAAGGTTTAGACCCACACGGATTTTGAAATTTCATTCAAAATGTACACGGTTCAATGGGGAACGCATGCGGTGCGGGAGATTGTAGTTGGCCGAAAGACTAGCTGCTCCACGGTGAATATTTTGTGCTTGGGCAGTGGAGGAGTGGTCGTTCTTGACTTCTAGACGTTCGGACCTCTCCGGAGTTGGTAGACCATCAAGCAACGCTGCAAGAAAGTTTATGTTCCCATTGAACTCCATACATTTCACCCGCGCGGATTTTTTTACATTCCAGAGGCATGTTTTCTTGTAATGTCCGCGGATTGCTGGTAACGCTGAGTCTCTCTCACGATCTTGCTTTCTTTATCTGAACGCCATAACCAGGGGATCGAAGGTCAACTTCAGCCACGGCCTAGATTGCAGAAACTCCTGAGAAAGCCGGGAGAGTGCTTATTCAGCAAACATTGCTCACTTCTTCTTCTTCTTTGTAACCTCCACTGAAGGAGAGTAGCCTATTGGGAAGGCAATTATATGAGGGCGAGTAGTTGACGGAGGTGCTCGGAGTGTAGACGATGTAGAAACTCAACGATCTCTCTCTGATCCTCGATCCAGCGAATTCCCAGGATGTGTCCCGCAAAACCGTTCGGGTCCGAGTCTAATAACGGTGCCAGGTCGGAGGCCGCCAGCAGAGGCGGGGCAGAGGAGAGGGCGGGGCAGTGAGATTATAAAGTGAGTAGTGTCTTCTGGTCCAGATCCGCACAGCTTGCATGTTGGGTCTGAGACGTTGTTCCGGAATCTGCATGTATCCGTCCCAAGACCATGGCAGTTCACTAGCAATCGGATTCGCGTTATGTGGCACGTGGGAACCCGCGACAGACTGAGAGGTGTGCGTGGGGGACGATCCTGCCCAGCTTCAGCTCGGCACATTCTGAGGTGACACGTAATCGTGTCAACCGTAGCTAGCTAGCTCCCCACCCCCGCGCCGCCCGCCTGATAGCTAGAGTACTTCATCAATCACCGGACACCACTCTTTATCGGACACCTTCGAATTATCGGACCGCAATGTCTTGTCTACCTACAACTCACTGCAAGGGCAAGGCGAGTTATATGCCGTAAGTTCGTCCCTTCGGGAACTAGTATTATATCCGCGTTATTTTACCTAAAATGCGCGTGCGCAATCGGTTGGAACAGACAAGCGCATGCGCACACTTAAGTGGGCGTATGCTTTGTGCAAAATTCCGGCTGTTAGTACACAGCTACTAGCTAGCTGTACGGCGCCGCACTGCGTGTTCTGCTGTAGTATTATAGTGTTGAGGTTTTCTGAGTACATAGCGCTGTCTCTTTAGCTTTAAAATGCACTGTCCGAACATAAGGGGCCATGTTCCGACTGACGGTGGTTCGGACAGTGAGCGATCTTTGTGCCGCCGTAGCGTTACTGTCCCTCTGCCGAAGCTGGTACTGTGCATGCCTGTTGAGTGACACCCTCTGAGGTACTGAACGTAGCGAGGATAGATAACTCTGTCTGGTCCGAGGGAAAATTGCTATGTCCGGGTGATGGTGTCCGATAATTGATGAGCTACTCTGAAAGGCTCACCGCTATTATTATACCAGGCTTGAAACTCAAACCGGTTATTGCCCGGTCCGGCAGCTGCCGCAACCGGTTGTTACGTCCATTAACCATGATTCTTCTACATACACTAAGCTCAGGACAAGAGCGTATTTCCGCAGTTAGTAGTGCCATATAGCTAACCGAAGAGAGAAGTAAACTGCACCATGATGTGCTGGAGTCGAGGTAAGACCCGACGAAATATTTTTTGGGCTGCAAGACACGAGACCCGTGGCACGTTCTGTTCCCTCAATTTACCTCTGGTATAAAACTGCAGCCAGGAGAAACTTGGAGGAGAGTTTCCCTCACCACAACATGGTTCTGGTGCTCCTGTTTCAACTGCTAGCAATCTCTGCTTACGCGATACTGACACCGTCCCTCTACAAGTTTATTACAACTCCCAAGACACGTCCGGATGAATTGAATTGTGCAGAGGTTAGTAATAAAGGGCGTTACCAAGTTACTAGGAGTGAGGGGTCAATGTAGATTTAGTGGAATTTGCATAGGTGTGATAGAGTTGCAGCCACTTTAGTCTGGTCACCAAACCCTTCCTAAAAACTACGTGCATGCAGTAGTCGCATGCGCGAGAGGGAAAGTCGGGTCTTGTTCATAGCTATACCCTGACACGCGCCAAGTCTCCCTCGCGCAAACGTCAGTCATTGCCTCTCAGTTGGCACCTGACACTATTCACAAGCCCGGCATGACTCATACTAGATGCAGTATCTTACGGAGTACATACTTGAACTCCTCTGAGAAGTGTTTGCATAAGAGAACCAGGAGAGGTTGTGAGTGGGAGGTGAGGCAGTGGCCAAGTTTCTTGTCCTCTGCCCGCACCCATTTAAAGAGAACGCAGTTTTGGTCATTACTAACTGCACATGCTTTGCTGTGTGTACTAATGGCTTCTGCACTTGTCTCGTTTTGACAGTGTTCCCACAATGAATTTTTGTTGTCATATTACTAAGTGGACAAATGACACAAGTAAATTTAAAAAGAGGCATATATCCCACGATTTACTTTTGTGGTCATATTACTAAGTGGACTAATTTCCTGGTGTGCCACTCTTGGACTCCATTTGCCGTGTTGTGTTTTCAAGCTGTAGGTCCTGACTATTGTAATGGGGAATGCAACAATATTGGGATTGTGTGATGGGTCGGGGGTGTCAGTGTGCTAAAATATGTTCATTAACCATGCTTCATGTATCCCATCCCTATCTTGTCTCCCTTTCTTTTTTTACCATCCCTATATACATCTTTTTTTTAAAGTACCGCACCGTGACAGTACCACACCTTGAGCAAACCAAGAGCGTACGCAAAGCGCACTAAGACCGTACCACCAGCGAACCGTACCAAGAGTTTGGGCGTACCCTGCACGGGGGGTGTGGTCACGGATATGTACCTCTGATACAAGGTATACACATGCAGGGTAAAGTTGGAACACAATCAGAGTGTGTTCTTAGCTCACACACATTACCCAGCTACACTGCTACGACGCCTCCTTCGACCTTGGTTTGACTGACATAAAAATCAAACTTTGTATACAGAACTCTGCACGTAACATCTGGGATAGCCCATGATATTGACCTCTTAGCTCAAAATGGTATTTGTCACAGCTACCTCTTAACTCTTTTGGTGCGCACGCGGTTACGTAAATATTACGCGTGCCGCCACAGATGTCCGCTCGCACACTCTGAACTGCTCGTGGGTCAGAATGCGACCTCCTTGTTGACTGACGGTACAACGTGTAGCTGTTGACCACTGTGGCATCGAACAAAAAGAAGAACGCACGCCTACACCACTTGCGGGTGTGATGGGGATAGCCGTAGTAGGTGAGCAGCTGATCACCACGATCGACACCACCCATGTACTTATTATACTCCACCACTGCCCGGGGCTTCTCGACTGTTTCCCGCCCACCAGGAGCTCGTTGTGATCGTCGCTCTACTGGCACAGGTGTGTCGTCATGAATTGTGGACAGGACGGACACAACACGCTTGTCATGCCTCTGTACCACATTCATCCCCTCGTCTACAGGAATAAGACACCTCTCTCCTTTCTCCAACCTCGACTTTGCCTCTGCAGGAACTCCGTGTCGAGTTCCACATGCTCCGAATCCAAGTGACCGGAGCCGCAAGAAGAGTGCTGGAGACGTGTAGAGGTTGTCCATATAGATGTGGTGACCCAGACCGCTGATTGGCTCCACTAAACGCAATACTACTGCGGCAGTCATCCCCAGAGGATCGTCAAGTGAGTCTCCTTTCCTAGAGTATGAATAAGACATCCAATATTTTACAATGGTTGTGTCTGTATTAGTTTACCGGTGTACAGAATCCAGTTGTACATGTAACTATACTGATTTTGCGGTGAGGCACTACAAACTTACTGAAAGACTTGTTCGCCAAGGATTCAGGTACTCAACATTGTGTGTAGTTTTTCGACGGTTTGCATGTGTGGTTTGTAGACAAATATGGTTGTAGCGTATGCAGACATATTGAAGATGGTGTATGTTTACCAGCAATGGATCCGTTCCAGAGTCGCCACGCCACGTCTCACGCAGATCTATTTAAACGATGTTTTTTAATTTTACTCACGCAGATCTATTAAACGATACGTTTTTTAAATTTTACAACGCGTGCATACAACTGTGCACTAAATAGTAAAGCCGCTCTGGTGCTCATGCACGTAAGTTTTTATTCTCTCTTTCGAGATTTTATATATAATTATTATTTCTATTTTGTCTATTTTTCTACGGACTTATTATACAGAGTTTTTTTACTGCCTCTTTCTTTTTCTTTATATATATTTTTATACACAAATATATTATATATTTTTCTACTGCCTATGTATAGTAACTGTCATTGTGATTGTTCGTCATTCGGTTTGGACACTAGGTGTGTGGGGAGAGTTGGCATGCCATAAAAGGCTCTTTAACCCACCGCCCCAGTTCTCAAGGCTGGGCACCTGGTGTCCTACCGTGTTGTGTGCAACTGTGTTGTTTGTGTCTGTGTATGGGTGGAGGATGGGGGGTGGAGGGTGACTTTTCTTTTCTATTCTCTGTGGCTAGTATGCTATAAATATACTTTTCATGTAGCCTGTGGTGGAATCGGCTAGTTCATAGGCCTTCAAACCCCACTTTGTTGGCTTCTTAGGCATGTACTGGATGAAGACGTCAAACACACTCTTGGACCAGAGACGCACTCTGGAGTGAGGAGGGATATCGTTGTTCGCGGCGTACTGTTGTGCATGAAGGTTTGTCTGGGTGACTGTGTTTTGCAGCATGTCTTCTGTGACAAGCAGCGAGAAGTAGTGGATTGGTCTGCTTCCTTCCACAGGAACTGCACAACCAGGCTGGAGTGTGTACTCGGGGAGTGTGTCACCATCATCACTGCTGCTCTGGGAACCAACCTCTACATTAGCCCCAACATCCATCTGTTCCTCCTCTTCTGGCTGGACTTCTTCTGTTCTATCTCCAGTGTCTACATAGCCATCAAAGTCATCCTCACTATCACATTCATACTCTGCATTTCCATGAAAAAACTTGTTTATAGCATACTAGCTAAAAGTATAATATCAGATGAAAAGAAAGAACCTCCCCCACCCAAGCACACAAAACACAGACACTAACATACCAAAGCATACAAAAACACAGACAATAACATAAACAGAAAGAAAGAGGCAGGACCCTGGGTGCCCAGCCTTGAGAACCGGGGCGGTAGGTTAAAGCCAATTCATCAAGAACATCATCCACTGAGAGAGTTGCTCTTGTAGCCTGCTTTTCCAGGAGCACAGGGGATGGGCTAGTTCGCAGACGAAAGATAGAGATATTCACCTGTTTGCCTTTGCACACACTATGAATATTCAGCAACTGTAAAGGCAGCCGCCCACTTTACCTCGCGCACGTTTTTAGCGTGGTAAAGTGTGAGGTAATATGTAAGGGGAGTGTTGTAAGTCGGCAGAAGAAGAGACTAGGAGACAGCAAGAGATGAATAGCGAGAGAAATAGTCAGTATTGTGAAGTGCTCGCGCTCTTGAAGGTAGGGGCATAATTATATATGTGAACGCATCTAGTAAAAATAGGGTGTTTGCCACATTATAATGTTTCCCTGTGTACTGTGTACGCGAGTATAGCACGTGCCATGCATACACGGGCGGAGGGGAAATCCCTTACGTAGAACGCAATGCGCGTTGCGCGTAATGCTCTCGCGTGGTGGTTCTGGTGTGGCTAATCCTTGCCTTATCATTGTATTACGTAATTCATTCACAAACCCAAACTTGTCCCTGTGTGTCATAGCCCCTATTTTTACTTGACGTGTTCACATGTACATATGCACTCTGCGGAGAAGGCTTATGCGCTCGCCCGCATATATATGTCTGCCGCGCCAAGCCCTATTAGACGTCGGAAGACACTCTATATAGGGATGGCAAAGATCAAATCTCACGCGTTAGGACCTATAGCTTGAAAACACAACTACTGACTAACCAACATGGTTATAGAGTCCAAATGGAGTCCAAGAGTGGCACACCAGGCAATTAGTCCACTTATAGTAATATGACCACCAAAATAAATCATGGGGTTTTTAAATTTACTTGTGTCATTAGTCCACTTAGTAATATGACCACAAAAATTAATCGTGGTGCAGAAGCCATTAGTACACGCAGCACAGCATGCACAGTTAGTAATGACTTCTCTTATTATTGTTGCCTGGTGTTCCACTCCTTTAATACTCTTGGTTACTAAGTAGCTTGACTTTTTTGGATTTTCAAGTAGACTGTTGAATATTTAATACTTCACCTAGGCAACAATATAATTATAGTATATGTACATGCACCACCTACCTGCATTTCAGAGGTAGCTGTAGCAAAATACCATTTTGAGCTATTATAAGAGGTCAATATCCCAGATGTTAGAGTTGTGTATACAACGTTCGATTTTTGTGTCAGTCAAAGTCAAACCAAGGTCGAAGGAGGCGTCGTAGCAGTGTAGCTGGGTAATGTGTGTGGGTTAAGAATGCACTCTGATTCAATTTTGCTTGTCTCCTACGACGTATATATACCTCATTTCATAAGTGTCCGTGACGCAGTGCATTTTGGGCTAAGAGGTCAATATCATGGGCTAAGATGTTATGTGCATAGAGTTACGATATTTTAGGTTTTCACAAAGTCGAGCCAAAGTAGACAGGTGTCATAGCAGTGTAGCCAAGGGAGGAATGTGTGTGGGTTAAGACTATACCCTCTGATTATGAGTCATTCAATTTGGTTGTCTTCAAACAGAATGGGACGAGGTTCTGGCCCGGTCTGGGACGGAGTGACTCAGACTATGCCCTGGTACTGACGTCCTACCCTCTGTTTGAAGTAGCCACTACGCCACTGGCTGGAGCACTCCTGCATCGACTCCCATATTCCATCACAATCACTGTGTTCATAATCGTGTATGTGGCTGGTGGAGTTGTCTACAGCCTGGCACGGTCGCTCTGGGTGGCGTTTGTCGGTTTTGGTCTCTTTGGCATGGGGTCAGCACTGGCTTCGGTCACGGTCCACACGTACATGGGTGAGATGGGTACAGTGATGGACCAGATCAGGAAAAAACAGGGCAAAAAGCCGAGAAAGTATATTCTGTACGTTGCTTTCTCTTTTGTAGTGAACGGAGGATTTCTCCCAGCTTTAGGTGAGTTGTCCTTTGTTACTGTACCATTTGCACGTGTTTCCTGATACCTAGACACACAGATTACTCAACGTTACACTGATGTTATAATGGTTGGTTCTTGGCCAATAAAATAGCATTGCTATAAGTGTTCACCCTCAAAATAAGGATTTTAGCTCGTGCTCTTTGTTTCTCTTCCCCAGCTATGAATTCAATAATTGCCCAGTTTGATGTAAACCCTTACCACTGGCCAGGCTGGGCCCAGGCTTCTCTCTCTGCCTCTGTCGGGCTACTGACATTGCTCTTCTTTGTTGAGACTCGCTCTCTGTCACAAGCTAAAACATCGTGCAGCAATGCCGTTTCCTGTCTTGCTGGAATTAAGTTAGAGGCACAGCTGCAGACCAAGTGCAGTAAACTTGCTGTATCCTTTGCTGACACAACAAAGCACTTCATAATCATTGACGTAATGATTCTCCTTAACTCAATGTGCTCTCTATAGTCCTATATGTTCCTGTGTGGATGTGGATTTTTAGGTGGTATGATGTTTACTATCGTTAGTGCTCTGGCTCCCCCTGTACTTAGCGACCAATTTGGCTTTGACGTGGAAAACACGTCTCACTATCTTCTGGTGATGTCATCGGCTTACCTCATAAGCAGCATTCTCCAGTAAGGAACAAGCACAAACACGTTAGCTATCTGGTTTGGATAACGTGTTGCGATGTATATAGGGGATTGCTAAACTAAAAAATTTAGACATTGGCGCGCACAATACTATTTTTAATTGCCGAATGTTTTCAGATAGCTAGCTATAAGCTATGTGTAACACTTCTTATGTGCATTTAATGTTGGTTGTGCATTGTTATTCAGGTTGGCCGCAAAGTGTGCGAGAATAGACAACAGAAAGATTCTAGGCTTAGGCATCATATTTGCTATGGCAGGATCTGTAATGTTTGGAGATTGGCAAGCTGTCCACAATGACCCTTGCCATTTCCCCCCAACTAGCAACTCTACCGCGAATTCTTTTCCATCTTCCACACTTTACACTAGTGGAGAAAACGCAACTGACGCATTGTGTTTGGGAGATTCCGTCACGAATTCTAGCTACCTTCAAGGGCTTGTTCAGAGTTGTGAGGATCTCAGCAGCTCTAGCAACGAGTGTTTCTGGAATCGTCAGTCCCGTGTGACCAGCACCTACTGCTACACCTGTCTCGGAGTCTGCCTGAGTCTCCAGAAGTCACAAAACATATACCAGCTGAGCATGGGCGTCATGCTCCTCAGTATTTCGGCTGGGTTCTTGTTCGTGTTCAGTTCGGCTGTCGTCTCTGATGTCGCCTCTGTGAAATCCCAGGTTATTAGCTATTCCTATTTTTAAATGGACAGTAGCTATTATTATACAAAAGGACTAAATTTAGAAGCGTTACTAAAGATGGAACTTGGACAATAGGGCCTGTTCTATTTTTTTTATTTTTAAATTTGGCAATTATTTTTATACTCCATTCAAGGTCTCTATGTAATTTGATGTTAATCCATGCAGGGAAAGGTTGTAAGCTCAGTGATAGGATCTGGATCCCTTGCAAGGTGCATTTCCCCTCTCTGGTGTAAGTTTCCAGGAACTGTTTCAGTGTATGAATGATGTATATCTCATCAGTCATTAAGAGCTATGAGATGACAAGTAGACACTCCTACTTTGCCATGGCCATAACTGCTGGCTATGCACTGGTCCTACTCATTTGTCTCGCTGCACTCTTCAAGAACCTAGCTCCCAGGGACCGTGGCAGTGCCCTCAGTGCTACTTCCAAATTTCATTCATACCCTGTAGATCAAGATCCAACAGGTATATATAGCTTGGTGACAATTAGCTACTCTGAACTTGTCCTTTATACAGGTTCAGGTGAAATTGCCGAGGTACAAGATGATGATGATCTTGAAAATCAAACTTTTCCTTTTGAAACAACAGTTTGATTCTCTTGCCTGCCAAACTCAGTGTTTTATTGACCTTTATAATAATATACCAGCAATCACAAACAGGCGCACGCAAACGGGCGAGGGCGGGCGGTAGGTTTATATAGAAAAGTGGAAAACAATCTTCATCACGGGTGTTTGGCGAAGTAAGAGCTTATAATTATTTGCAGCGCTTAATATACAGCTGGTTGGTTGGTTAGAATAAAAATGCGCAGGTTTTCGCACCGGTGTGTGTAGCAATGAAGTGGAAACCCTCGGCGAACTGCGCATGCGCGGTATCACTAATTGATGGACTGGGCTTTTTATGCCTTTACTCGTGGTATCCCGCTAGTATATAGCTCGCGGAGAGTTTGCCACGGGCTAGCTACACAGTAGTAGATAGTATGCGGGAGTCGATACATGCCCTTCGTTGTGACTTCTTGTGCCTTCAAGATACATAGAGCGAGCGGACGCGGTCGAGGTAAGCCTGTGCTATTATTTGCAGTTGACTTGCCTGAACGAAGTAAATCGCCTTTTTTTAAATTAGGCCAGTGTATATAGCGCTGAACGTGTTGGTATCGTTACCTCGTTGCACGTAGTCGCAAAAAACGTGGTAACAGACGAACGGACAGACACTCACAGTCACAGAATTGACGCGCAGAACTCGCTCTTCTTCCTGTCATCTGGCATGTGTACTAGGTAGTTGACATTGCCTACACGACTCAAGACTTGATAGGGACCCTGCCATTGCACAGTGAGTTTTGACGATGACGTTGGGAGACGA